CGGTTGGCTAGGCCGTGGTTAAGCCAAAAACCATGGGTTCTTGACTAACCATCCACCCAGCGATGGGAAGATCTTCCCATCGATGGGTAAGCGGTCCCTTAGCCAAACTAATTTCCAGAACCATGCCAAACAGCGATGGGAAGTTCTACCCATCGCTGTTAAAGCCTTTGTGCAAAATTACCACAAGGCAGAACGACCTTGCCCAGCGATGGGAAGCCTATCCCATCGATGGGAACCCAGCGATGGTAAGGGTATAACATCGATGGGAAGGCATGACCGTTGGTGGTCATTAAAGGTTGATTCTTTCCTTGTTTGGAAGTCAACCTCCCACCCAGCGATGGGAAGCTTGTACCCATCGATGGGTAGGTGACCGTTGACTTCAAAACTGAAGAAAAATTGGCTTACCAGCGATGGTTGAGTCTAAACATCGATGGGAAGCCAATATTCTGCAGATCCCAAATCTTTTCAATCCCATAAATCAAGCCAATCACCCCTTTAATGCATTGGTCCGTTGGAGCCTTCTTTGGCACTATAAAAAGGGGTGTTTGGGTCTGCTTTACACATCAATTCACTTCACATTACACATATTATCATTGCATCCAAATCACATTGTTTTCCATAGCTTTCTAGAGCCAATTTGTGTGAAGTTTGAGTTGTTCTTGAGCGTATATATTTTACTCATATCCACTCTTAAGGAGAGTCTTGTTCTTGAGTGTCTTAGTGTTGTATACACGTTAAGGGAAGCTTGTTTCCCTTGGTTGTACGAAGGAAAGGTATTTTCCTTCGGGTTGAAGTCTTGGAGTGCGGTATCTTTGAGCAAGGTTGTTGAGGCTCGTGGGACTCGAGTTCTCAGGTTGTAACAGTTTGTTAAGCACCCGTAAGCTTAACGGAAGTAGTGTAGCTCGAGAGAGTCTCTCGGGAGACTAGATTAGCCACACGTTGTGGTGAACCAGTATAAATCTTGGTGTGCTCCCTTTACGCTTTCTACGCTCTTTACTTTTCACTTTCTTGATTTTTTTATTCCTGCGATTTCTGCGATCAAACGCTATTCACCCCCCCTCTAGCGTTGGTCTTTTATTCTAACACTCGAGAGATTATAAGCTCTGCAAAAAAAAAAGATTTATTTGTTTCTATGCAGTACTCAATTAAAGAGTTTTGTTTTCATATAATGCATTTCAGATGGATTGATAGGTTTAAAAACTTTCTTTATATTCAAGTAACTTGATTCCACAATATTCACATTCGGTCAAATAAATTTCATTCAACAGGAGTTCCTATTGTTTTTTTAAAACAATTTGTGGGTGACTCATGATACTTGGACGAACAACATTCTTAGCATATTCCCAAATCCTAACATAGCAACCTCTTTAATATCTTCAATAAGTTATTTATCATCGGTTAATAACCTCAATGCTTCACATGCTTCTATGAATGCGTTATGTAGAACATTGTTTACTCTTCTCAAGCTCTTATAACTTATACATCCTCGCTGGACAGTTGATACTATTCTCAAGTTGTATAACTCTCTGGTTTCTGGAAGCACATATTGTAGCCTGCCTATTGATGGTGGTTTCTGGAAGCACATATTGTAGCCTCCCTATTGACGGTCTTTGTTGCATCGGACCATTTCCGCACTTTGTGGTTGTACACAAAAAGATCTAGAAATTCTGGAAATTCTTTGCACACGTCAAATTTTATCCCGCATCATACTGTGTATTGAAAATCATCCAAGCTTCAAACATTGAAGCTTTGTCATATTTTTTCGACAACATCTTTTAGATTTTGTTGATCTCTAAAGGTTGCAAATTTTAGCCCTGGGAGATGGGAATTCAACATTGAGTGTGTCTACCATATTAATTTACGTAGTACATAATTTATACATATAGTTAGTGATGGATACCCGGGAATGGGGGTATCCAGTCCAGCAGGAAGACGGCCCAGCCCAACTTCGCCAAGGCCCACTTGGCGGGACCAAGGCAAAGGACCAGTGAAGAGCGCCTCGGCAGTACTGCGCACTCGGCCCCAGCAGGGTCGGTCATCCTCGAAGCAACCAAGGCCGGCCTTCCGTCCATAGGTTTCCGAAGACAGGTCAGGCGCTCGGCCTCGGCCCTGAGCAGCGACAGACCGGACCTAGACAAGGGAGCTGACTGAAGTCAGGATCAAGGGGCCCACGATTAGACTCCTGCCATGCCTCTGGCAGAGTTGCTATAGCCACCCTACTTGTAACCTACTTTGTGTGGCAATCTTAGGGTTAATTATGTGGTTGGACGGCGCTAGTGAACAACCCAATCTTAGTGGGCACGGACTGTTGGATTACAGACCAACGGTCGGAACCCTAGCTGTAACTTGTATATAAACCTCTTCCCTTCTAAGGGAAGGGGACGGACGTTCTAAGTGATATTCTTACTAGCACAATACTATCCTCTGTTTTACTTGACCCATACCTTGTGCACTCGACTTAGTTCGATACTCATCCGCCTAGTTACCTAGGCCCCCGGATTCCATAACCCAACATTGATGCTCTCATTGAGAGTGTCGAACACATCAAGCGTGCTCCAAAGAAGATGGTTGCGTCAAGGAGAGTGACTAGGTCATCGACCGCCAATGTCGGTGGTGGTCTCAGGATGACCGTTACGGCGCCGACTGGCGCAGGTCCCGATGAGTTGGACATCAGCCTCAATGACGTCGCCAGCCAAAACACCACTGATCTGCGTCATCGCATTCCCAGACGGTGAACGACGAACGCTGGGGGGTCTCAGGCGCCAACACAGCAGGTGCCCACCCAGGGCGCCGACGTTCTAACTCAGCCTTCTCCCAACGAGCTTGTGTGTGGGGGAGGCATGGTGTCCCAGTGATTTCAACTCACCATTTTTCCAGTTCGGGGAAACCTCTGATGCGAGGACCCCAGGTCCAGACCCTAGCGGTTTCTGGGCCGCGATGAGGGCGATGATGCTCAATCAGCCCATGACCGGTTTCCACATGCCGGTCACGATGCCGCAGCCAACGTTCCTGTCTGACGGACGTCGTGAGGTCCAGCAGAACATGGTGGAAAGTGCGGAACTTTTCGCGCAACACCTGAAGAATCTAATGGCAGACTCCCGCCTGAATCCTTCGCCTGGGGGACCCGAGAACAGGGAGTTGAGCCGGTCCCAGCAACGGGACAAGGGCAAGGGCCCGGAGCGCAGGGCCAACAAGAAGCAAGCTAGCCGTCGAGACAAGGAGACGGCGAGCAAACGTTGTGAACCCCTGAAGGAAGGACAAGGTGAGAGTGAGTCGTACGCATCTGTGTTCAGCCGGATGCGAGTGCCGGTCACGGAACGGCTGTATGGCCGACGGAATACCTTCCTGCAAAACGAAGCGGGGAAGATCGGGATGCCCTGCGAGGAACAGTGTGACCGACACAGAGAGGTCCATCCGGAAAGGCCAAATTCCTGGGTCGAGCAACCCGTCCAACATCCGGTTCTGAGAGCGCCGCAAAGGACGCCCATCGCGATGGACGTGGGCATGGGCAGATCTGGGGACCAACGCATCGATCTTCTCTTGCAAAGGCTGGATGCCTTAGAGAAAAGGAGCGGGCCGGGGCAGAACCCACATTCAGACTCCGTTCTCCTTTTTCGGAAGGGATCTTAAGGGCGTCACTGCCGAGCAGCTTCCAGATGCCCCCAATACCAAGGTATGACGGAACTACTAACCCACATGAACATTTCAACCGGTACCAAACCCTCGTGAACGTGGTGACGTTCTCCGAGGAGGTCGTTTCCCGCCACTCTCGACGGGCTGGCGTCTGAGTGGTTCAATGAACTGCCTGAAGGGAAGATCGATTCATGGGAGGATTTGGCGCGAAGATTCCTGGTGCACTTCGCCGGCAACAGGAAGAAGAAACTGCATTTTTCACACCTCTTGTCGGTCAGACAGCGACCCGACGAGCCGCTGAGGGAATTCCTAGGAAGGTGGAAGCTGGAGACCACCAGAGTTTACGGAGCAGATGACAAAACCAGATTATCCACCTTTCATTTGGTCTTGCGATCGGGGGACTTCTCCAAGCGTCTGGCCTTGGAGAAGCCGAGAGAGTATTCCATCGCGATGGCCATGGCGGAGGATGAAGCCGAAGCAGAGGAGCTGGAGACAAACAAGAAGAAGGAAGAAGCAGGGAGACTTGGTTCCAGCGTAACGGCGGTGAAGCCTACGCCGAGGAAGGTCACCATTGATGAACGGCCACATTTGCCAGTCGGACACCGCTTCCGTAAGGGCAAAGACCCGCGCGACCGACGATCGCACGGAAAGGATATATATGAAGAAGGGGGTGAGGACAGGAGGCTATATCCCCCCTAGAGGCCCCAAGTTGTTGTTTCCCGATGAGCTTACGCCACTTACACATCCCGTAAGCGCCATCCTGGATTTCGCCGAGCATCAGGGCTTGGTGGAGTATGACCCGCGATTCCCTCCGATTTGCACCGTCGGTGAGGGTCCTTACTGCAGGTTTCACAGAGCAGCTGGTCATGACACGGACGCGTGTAAGGTTCTCAAGAGGGAGATCGAGAACCTGATCCAGGTGGGATATTTGCGGCAGTTTGGGATATTTGGGACATGTGGCGCAAGGACGACGGAAAGAAGAGCGGAGACAACCGGGGGAGGAAACCGGCGGGAACTCAACAGAAGAAGAGGAAGGAGATAGGCCTGCCGAGCGACAAGGAAGAAGAAGACAACCCTAGACAGAAGAGGATCGAAGAGAGCCGGATGATCTATGGTGGCAACACTGGAGGGGACAGTACTGAACAAAGGAAGAAGTGGGTGCACTCGGCCTACGTCGGAGACGTTCGCAGTGCGCCTGGACCGTCGAAGGTCGCGAAGACAGAGCCCCTCTTGTTTGGTCCAAAGGACCTGCCTGAGATCCCATCACCCCACAGAGACGCCTTGGTCGTCAGGTGCGAGATCAACGAGGTAGTAATCCATCAATCCTATGTTGATAATGGGAGCTCGATCAACATCATGTATGTAAAGACATTTGAGGAGCTGGAGTTAAAGAAGGAACTCCTGAAGAGAGTAAGGACCCCCTTGTCCGGATTCACAGGAGACATCATCGATTCAGAGGGACTGATCGAGGTGATGGTCACCTTCGGCGATGGAGAGCACAAGAAGACCATTCCGGTCGAATTCATGGTAGTGCGACTCCTTGGGTCCCACAATCTGATTTTGGGTCAACCTGCACTGGAAGATCTCGATTCCGTAACATCGGTGAAGTATCTAAGCATGAAATTCCCTACCGATTCGGGAATAGGAGTGTGCAGAGGAAACCAAAAACTCGCCCGACTCTACTACCAGAAGCAGACAAAGAAGATGGACGCCCAAGATCTCAGAGTGGACAGTATTGCCACGGCACTTTTGAAGGAGGAAGAAAGCCGTCCTCGAGCTGAGCCAGCTGAGGAGACAGAAGATGTGGTGATAATGGAGGAGCAGCAGGAGAAAAAGATCAAGCTCGGTACTAACATCAGTGCCGAGCTTCGGTCCAAGATCATACAGGTACTCAGGGAGAACTTTGTGGTGTTTGCATGGAGTGTCGAGGATATGCCGGGAGTCAGCAGATCCCTGATCACCCACCGCCTCGCGGTCGGATCGGACGCGGAGCCTATAAAGCAAAGAAGGCAACACTTGAGCAAAGACCGGAGGGATTTCGTGAAGAAGGAGGTGGACATGCTCCAAGCAGCAGGGCATGTCAAGGAGATCAAATACCCCACCTGGCTGGCCAACGTCGTGCTGGCACCAAAGGGGCAGACGTTCAGGATGTGTGTGGATTACACTGATCTGAACCGAGCTTGTTCTATGGACCCCTTCCCTTTGCCCTACATTGATCAAATGATCGACGAAACAGCCGGGTGCGAGGTCATGTCTTTCATGGATGCATTCAGAGGATACCACCAAGTGTTCATGCACGACGAAGATGCCGAGAAGACGGTATTCCTCAACCCGGAGGGGGTGTACTGCTATTTGGTGATGGCATTTGGGCTGAAGAACAGCGGAGCCACGTATACAAGGATGGTGAGCCGAGTGTTCCACTCGGTCTTGGGAAAGACGATGGCAGCATATGTGGACGACATGATCGTCAAGAGCAAGCAGTCTTCCGACCATGCGGAGGACTTATCCCAGGTTTTTTCTATTATGCGCAAGTTCAATTTACGTCTTAACCCCAAAAAATGTACTTTTGGTGTAGAAGGTGGCAAGTTCTTAGGTTATCTCGTGAGCCGACGAGGTATTGAGCCCAACCCCGAGAAGGTCAAAGCGATCCTAGATATGGAGGCCCCCCGCTCCATAAAAGAAGTACAGCGCCTGATGGGAAAGATGGCCGCACTCGGCCGATTTTTATCAAAATCCGCCGAGAAAAGTATCCCTTTCTTCGGCACACTGAAGAAGGTTCCACAATTCCAGTGGACACCCGAGTGCCAGGCGGCATTCGAAGAGCTGAAGAAGTATTTATTAACTCCGCAGGTGCTAGCAAAACCGATCAAGGGCGAGAAGCTGTACCATTACTTGGGCGTCAGCCTTGGATCCATAAGTTCCGTTTTGTTACGGGAGGAAGGGGATGCTCAGCGCCCCATCTATTATGTTAGCAGAACTTTGAGGGATGCCGAGCTCAGATACTCGGTGGTGGAAAAAACAATCTTGGCCGTCGTCAACACGGTCAAGAAGCTGAACCATTACTTCCAAGCCCACGAGGTGGAAGTGAGGAGTCATCAGCCTCTGAGCATCATCATCAGGAATCCTACAGCCTCTAACAGGGTCATCAAGTGGTCTGTCTATCTGAGTCAGTATCAGATAGAGATGAAGCCGAGGGCAGCAATCAAAGCCCAGGCCTTGGTCGATTTCATGGTGGAATGTACGGCACGTGACAACAACCCCATACCAATGGTGGAGCAGGGAGAGTGGTGGACTTTGTCTACTGATGGATCATCAGCTGCAAAGGCTTGCGGTGGGGGCGTGGTAATCCAATCACCTGAAGGATTCCGCTCCTATCATGCAGTAAAATTCCAATTCAAAGTGTCCAATAACGAAGCCGAGTATGAAGCATTATTGAGCGGCCTGAGGCTCATCCTCAACCTAAAGGCCGAGTACGTCAGGATCAGGTGCGATTCGCGCCTGGTCGTCAGTCAAATAAAAGGGGAGTTCGACACCAAGGAGGAACGAATGCGTCTATACAAGGAGGCGGCCTTGGAATTGCTCAAAATCCTTAAAGGATACGAGCTCGTGCAGATCCCGAGGGCGGAAAACACCGAGGCCGACGTCCTCTCCAAACTAAGCAACGACAGCCCCGAGCACATCTCCAAGATGGCTCACATTGAAGACCTGGGGTCTCCAAGAATTCATGTGCAACTCGTCTTTGTTGTCACCGAGGAAGTCAGTGGCTGGATCGCGGAGTTGATCCGGTATAAGAAGGATGGAATCCTCCCCGACGACGAGACGACGGCCCGTTTGATCAAACGGAGGGCACCGACATATGTCGTTGAGAATGGCCGGCTATACAAGAGATCATACAACGGCACATTGCTGAGGTGTGTTGACGAAGCCAGAGCGGGGCAGATCATGGAAGAGGTCCACGAAGGAGTATGCGCGGCACATCAAGGTCCTTTTTCCATGGCCAGACGCATTGTCCTACAGGGATACTTCTGGCCGACCATGGTGAAGGACTGTGCCAAGCGCGCCAAGCGTTGCAAAGTGTGCCAAATATTCCAGAACATTCCGGGAAGACCGGGAACCAGCTATCATCCCATCAGCTCGTCGATCCCTTTTGCTCATTGGGGGATAGACCTGATAAGACTAATGCCGAGGGCACCTGGTAACTTCCGTTGGATCATTGTGGCCATCGATTATTTCACAAAGTGGATTGAGGCCGAGCCCTTGGTGGGAGGAACCTCGGAACAGTGCTCAAAGTTTGTGAACAACAACATACTCTGCCGGTATGGTGTCCCAAAGCAGATCACTACAGACAACGGAACCCAATTCGAAGCTGGAGATTTCAATGAACTTTTGGGAGACTGGAAGATAAGGCACACCTACAGCTCCGTGGCTTACCCGCAAGGGAACGGCCAAGTCGAAAACGCCAATCGAACAATCATGGACGGGATCAAGAAGAGGCTTGAATCCTACAAGGGAGCGTGGGTAGACCAACTCCCCAACGTGCTGTGAGCATACCGTACCACTCCGAGGAGGGCGACTGGAGAAACACCGTTTTCCATGTGCTACGGCCTGGAAGCGAGAGCACCCTCGGAGGTGTTCATTCCAACATGGAGGGAGGAGAACTATGAAGCCAAGGAGAACGAGGAAACCATGGCGGCCGATCTCAATTTCGTTGAAGAACGCCGAGAACAAGCTTTCCTCAGAGCACAGAACTACCGAAGGCAAGTCAAAGAATATTACGACCCCAAGGTCAGAGCTAGGGAATTCCGAGTAGGGGACTTGGTACTCAGGAAAAGGGAATCCAGTCAGCCTACAGAAGGGGGAAAGTTTGCCAAAAGCTACGAAGGACCATACAGGGTCACAGCTGTGCTCAGGCCAGGCACCTACAAGCTCTCCACGCTTAAAGGTCGCGAACTCAGCAGGCACTGGAACACGCACAATCTTATTTCTTTCTACATGTAAGGCACTGAGAACCGTAACCTGTCGGCCTCAGTGGCTAAAAAAAAGATTTTCTACTTAATGAAATACTCGGTTCCACGCAAATTCTGTTTTTTGCTTTACGCAGTTTATAAACGCTGCTTAGCGCTATCATCTCCCATGCCACGATTTTTTGGCCTCACGCGGTCTTTCGCTTTACGCGAACTAAGTCCCTTTGTGCTCCCACACACATCACAACAAAATTTTAACCGTCTCGCCACTCGGCAATGCCTGTTACCGAGTGTCCCTTCAGGGGGGAGCCCATCCGCACGGCTTAACCCGGGGAATCGGCGCTCTGAACGAGACGAAGGACAAGATCCGAATGGGCACAACTTGTTAATAGCACAAAGGGCAGCGTAAGGTCCTGCTTAGGACAAAAAACTTGCAATCCTGCTTAGGATGTCTTCCACGACCCCTAGTCTTGCTGAGGACACACCTTTCGCCGCCCTGCTGAGGGTGTGAGCGCAAAAGAACCCTTTGGGGTGCAAAAAAAAGAGGCAAGAGAAAGAAAACAGAGCACGCAGGCAATTTTATTACACGAAATTCGCCCAAGGCGGCAGTACATCATTATTCTAGCACAAGAACGCGAAGCGTTATTTCCCGAATGATCAAAATACACATTTATTTCTTCAGAAAATGAAGAATCTACAGAGGAAGCGTCATGATCGGCCACAAACTGCGCCTTGAGGTTGGCGCTGATCGTTTTCTTTCGGTGAGCACGGCGAAAGCCTTTGAGATAGGCGCGCACGTTCGTGCCCACCTTGTGCACCAAACGGCCAGACTTCTGAGAAACCTCCATCGCGGCGGGTTCCCGGCAGAAAGGACTCTGGACAGAATCCTCACTCAAAGAAGATAGATCGGGATCGGCACATTTCCCCACCGCAGTCGGAGCAGTGGCGAAGCTGGGCAAGGACGAATCTGCCATAAGAAAAGAACAGGGTGGAGTAGCCCGAATGAAGGACGTTCCCTCTTCAAGAGAAGGAGTACCAGGGCTTAACGCCATATTGCAAAAGAGAGACACAAACAAAGAAAGGAACAATGCATCATATTTATAATCAACGCAGGGCACTTATTACAAAGGCATTCATTGCACACAGAGTCAAACTCCATTACAAAGGTATTCTCAAAAGCTACAACATTTATTACAAGCCCTACACGATACGGTTGCAACACCGGCGACATTTATTACACGACGGAACTGAGAAAGGGAAAGAACACAAAACGCTCTACATCCCAATGGACCTCCTTTTTCCCTGGTTTTAAAATCCATTGGGAGGTAGAGGCACCCCGTCCTAAGGCGCAATAGACTTCAAGACCAACAAAGCCCGGGCGCCGACGGACGTGGATGGCCCCCCAATTCTGCAAACCTCCATGGGAAGATACACAGGGGAGGGCCATAATAGGGAAACTTAGGAAGAGCCGACAGACTCTTCCGGGTGATTGTCACCCACGGGGATGGCATCAGCAGCCGGCTGAGCAGGCTCAACCAGAGACGCTGCCTGTTGGGGAACTCCGTGAAGATAATTCACGAGTCTTCGGAGACATTTAATCCGCTTTTCCAGCTTCTTTGCACGATACCACCTAGAGCTTGTACGAGATTCGGCATCCTCCGGCGGAGGAGGAGGACGGCGGCGGATGGTCTTCTGCTGGGAAGGCAGAGGACCGATCTCCCTTGAATTATTGGAAGCCATGGAAAGATTAACACAAGGGATGAAGAGATGGACTTCATGATGCAAGAAGGCCAATTTATAGGCCCATGAGCGAAGGGTTAAGGGAGTTAAACGGTCGCAGTGGTTGGAAGTGGAACTGTGCACAGTGACACGTGTTTAGCACAATGCGACGGTCCAGTGGTTAGGTCTGTTTGCGTGGGGAAGCCAAAGAGTCAGTTTCTCAAAAGGCGCAATTCAAATTTATTCAAATAAACAATGTTAGAAGTCTACTCAACTATTCACGCATGCAGCGAAACAGTAATAAAATCTTTATTACAGTGAAGAATAAAATTGCAAGCATTACAAGAAAAACGTTAAGGAAGGGCATTTGAGGGTTGTTCGTCGCCGACATCATCGGCACCCGTGTCCTCGCGCTCGGGCGTCCCAAGGTAGTCTGGGTTCTCCCCGAGCTCGGCGTTCAAGTTGGTATCATGCATCTCTGGAATGTCGACCCCGGGCGGAGGGAAGGACGGATCTACTCTTCGGGTCCGGCAAAGGACGAGCTGAATCCCGTGATAGACGCCGCTCTCGAACCACTTCGTCTCTTCCACCCCCATCTTTTCAGTACCGGCCTCGGTCCCGAGCCAGTCTTCGTAATAAGCAGCCATTTTCTCCATGCAGGCTTCTTTGAAGGACGGGGACTGGATGAAGTCGAAGATGGCGCGCTCTTTCTCAGCAACAGCTTGATCCCTCTCAGCCAGGGACCGATCTCGTTCAGCCTCTAAAGATTGCCGCGAGGAGACAGCCTCGGCCAGTTCAACGTCCAGCTCTGATACTCAGCCCTCAGATTGGCGCAGCCGCCCCTCGAGTTCGGCCATTGAAGCCGTCAGTTGGGAGGCTGATTCCTCCGCCTCCTTCAGAAGGCTCTGCAGCCGAGCCACCTCCTCGGACTTCGCCACGGCCTGCATTTCGAGCTCGACAGCCTGTTCATGCTCGGTTTCCGCCAGCTTCCTTAGGCGAGACAGCTCCGTTTCCACCGAGGCCAAGAAGTTCACGGAAGAGGAGAACTCGGCCCCGGCTCGGCGCTCGCTGATCAAGCTCAGCTTCGCCGACACCTTTGAAAAATCGAGTCAGTTATTTGCACAAATAATGAGAGTTAGGACGTCAGGAATCTAACCTTTTTGTGGAAGCTGTCCATAAGCCCTTGCAAGGACAAAAGAATCTCGTCCTCATCTTTGAGCGCCGCGGACACGGCCTCCTCGTCCTCGACCTAGATGAGCTTCCTCTTTCTCTGGCTCCGGGTCGGAATCACTTCCCGATTCGGGGCCGAGGCAACAGATCCAGTTGCGTCCGCGGTTGAAGGTCCTTGTTGAACCTCTGCTCCTCGGCCTCGGTTGCGAGCCAGCAGCTTGGCCTTGCGGATAACATCCACCGGATTCATATCTCCTGCCAAGACAAAACAACAGTTAAAAGACTTGACACCAAACAGGAAAAACCCTGTTGTGAGGGACAGACCTCCAGAAGGCTCCATACCAGCAACCCCCTCGGAGTAGGATGGCTGCCCTAATTCTTCGTTGGTTTCGGCCTCCCCGTCATCTTCCTCTTCGTTGTCCTCCGACTCTAGATCTTCTGACCTCGGGGCGCTCTCCTCAAGCCCATACTTCGGATGACTCCCAAGCACGGCTTCGGATAGCTCGAACTGACGATCGAGGGAGATAAGGATCCCCACCTCCGCTATGTTCTGCTCCGTACACACCGTGTATACGTGGGGTGGTTTAGGTCGGCAGTCTTACAACAGTTTTTGCGCGTGTGCCATAAGCTCGGGAGTGGCCTCAGGCCGAGGATGACGGACAAATGTATGACAGTCGGGAAACCTGGCTTGGAAAGGGTGCCGGTCCCTGGCAAAGCCAGAAATGAAGACAAACTTGGCCTTCTAAAGTTTCAAGGATGAGGGGAAAACGGCCATACCACACTCGGCCTGGGAAGAAACGACGGCATACGAATTCCCTTCATGGGCCCCCACTTTGGAAACCTTGAACATATAACGGAACAAATCCAGAGACCAAAGGACTCCCCTCTGGTGACACTTAATCAGGAAGATCGAAAAACAATAGTAGGAGTGGGGACTGAGCTGACCCGGCAGAAGACGGTAGAAGTTCAGGAATTGGACTATCAGATCGTGAGGAGGGAAGCGAAGGCCGTAGCGCATGGACGCCACGTGCACCCCGACCTCGGCGTCAGGACAGGTCACCGAGAAGACATGGTTGGTTGTGTGCGGTCGGCGCACCACATAACCGTCTCCCACGAAGCGGAGAGCCTCGTCAAAGTCAACATCCAACAGAAGACAACCCGTATTTGTAATCGGACCCGTTTCCAGCACGGTAATGGGTAAGGATTTCGGGTTCTTCCCCTGGACAACTTTCGATTTCTTCTTCTTCTTCTTCAAGGGCGGCGCTCGATACGACGACGCAACGGTGATGGACGTACGGAGAGGCACTGCACTCAGAACCCTAGAGTGGTCGATTCCTCCCATCAAGCCGTCGGGGCGGAGGGAGGGATCTTGACGGTACATTTCCGCAAAACAAACCGCCGCTGGGTCAACAGCGGGGGTGGAAGGGTTGGAATCAGAAGACGTCATGAGAACGGAGAAGAGTGAACTAACCTTCAGGTTGGACGGCGACGGCGAGTGAGCGGAGATAGTGAACGAAATCAACGGCAGAGCTGCAGCGCAAAAATGGCAAAAGTGGAGAAGATTGGGAAAGATTCTCAATTTTATACGTTAAAGGGATCCGACCTGACTCAATGAAAAGGCACAATTACGAAGAGACGTGGCGCTTCCTCACGCGTACGATCACGAACCATCGTGAACAGCTGACAAAGGAACAGTACAGAGACGTTGCGTCTCCCAAGCAGCGCAATCATATTTTTCAGAATTGAGGGGACACGTGTAAATCTTGCCAGGTAGAACACTCCCCAACCCTCGTCAGTACTCAAATCGGGCAGTGGGGGACTCCTGCACATGGCCAAGATTCTCAAAACTAAAATTCAAAATTCAAAATCTCAATTTTTTGGATTACTTCCCTCGGCTTCGCTACGCTCGGCCGAGGAAGTAGGGGACTCATGATGGATACTCGAGAATGGGGGTATCCAGCCCAGCAGGAAGACAGCCCAGCCCAACTTCGCCAAGGCCCACTTGGCGGAACCAAGGCAAAGGACCAGTGAAGAGCGCCTAGGCAGTACCGCGCACTCGGCCCCATCAGGGTCGGTCATCCTCGGAGCAACCAAGGCCGGCCTTCCGTCCAGAGGTTTCCGAAGACAGGTCAGGCGCTTGGCCTCGGCCCTGAGCAGCGACAGACCGGACCTAGACAAGGGAGCTGACTGAAGTCAGGATCAAGGGGCCCACGATTAGACTCCTGCCATGCCTCTGGCAGAGTTGCTATAGCCACCCTACTTGTAACCTACTTTGTGTGGCAATCCTAGGGTTAATTATGTGGTTGGACGCCGCCAGTGAACAACCCAATCTTAGTGGGCCCAGACCGTTGGATTACGGACCAACGGTCAGAACCCTAGCTGTAACTTGTATATAAACCTCTTCCCTTCTAAGGGAAGGGGACGGACGTTCTAAGTGATATTTTTACTAGCACAATACTATCCTCTGTTTTACTTGACCCCATACCTTGTGCACTCGACTTAGTTCGATACTCATCCGCCTAGTTACCTAGGCCCCCGGGTTCCATAACCCAACAGTTAGTTAATACACCAAGATAATTGTTTTATTACCATGCTCAAAAGAAATTAAAAATATGTGTTATTGAAGATAGATCAATTCTCTTCTGTCTTTTATGCACTTAAAAGCACGATGAATTGTGTAATTATTGTCGGATTGGAGAATTGTATAGAATTTTTTTGGGAAAAAATTACTGGAAAAATTAAATATTTAATTCAGAATAATAAAAATACCATTTGTCAAATCACAGAGCACATTCTTTCTCGAACGTGTTCAATGAGGCGAGGTTATAGCCGATGATGACTTCTCTTCTTTTGTATCTGTAAAAACTATCATAAAATAAATATTGTAAATATTTTTATCTAAAAATTTTAAACATAAAAAAGTTCTATTATCCACTAATATTTGTTACATTGCTGTTGACGGTCAGATGAATAACTAAGCAAGAATATTACTTATTTATATTATTTTGACATAAATATCAAAATAAGCATGTTTTTTATTTTTCAGAATTTTAATTAATAGTAATTACACTTATAAAAATTAATATTATATCATAAATATTTAGATTAGGAACACTAATTAATAATTAATTTCTCACACATAAATACTCACATACTAAGTCTTCAACATTTCAAAAATTATTAATGGAAAATAGTAATTTTGTGGCACACATCTTTAAATTTTTACAAAGTTCGTAATAGAAAATAAGAATTTAAAAATAGAATTTACTAATTTAAAAATGGAACATACTTTTTATTTAACTTAGTATTTTTTAATATATACTGAATAAAATTATTACTTTATTAAATAGACATGCCCATTAAAATCCCTTTTCTTTTATATATCTATTTCTGTTTTTTCAAAGTTGGAAAATATCTCCAATTAGTATTAATTCAAAGTAAAAATAAATATTCATATGTAATTTCTTTTAGTTTTACCAATTTATCCGTTTTTAGAATAAATTTATTCTTTTGATTATGGTTTTTTATATGAGTTCTTTTTTCAATTACAAAATATATTATTTAATTTAAATATTTTCCAAAAAAGAATTAAGATATAAAAGTTTTAAACGCGATTATGTTGAGAAATTTGTGTGTAACAAATACAAAATTTAATTTTCATAGAATAAGTTTTTTTATTAATTAATTCTTTAAATATAACTTGATGACATGGCGTGCTGACATGTCAAAAAAATTGCCCAATAAGCGCGCCACATATCACAATTCTAGAAGCCTAACTCTCAAATTTTATATATAAAGATAT